CAGAATTTTAACAACAGTTAAAGGTGACATAGATACTTTATTATGGTATAGTATTTAAATAAATGCCTGAGAAACACATAATATCGGCCCTTCAATAATGCATTTCCTTTGAGTGTAGTGGAGACCAACTGGGAACATTTTCTGCTACATTGGACAGATCCATAACTCCACATATAAAATAACGACTCATTATTTTTATGTAGCACTTTTCTAGATGCTTTACAAATTCCTGCTTTATTCATTAACTCCTCAGTCACTCAGTGGTGRAAGTGTGGCAGCCATTCTGCACCTACAGCCCCTCCAGACCACCACAATCACACCAACTGATTTATACGTGGGGGTTAGGTGTCTTGCAGGAACATAACGGTAYGCAATCAGGCAGGGATTTGAACCGATGACGTTCTGATTGCAAGGTGAACACATACCCTCTGCACCACAGAATATATCATCCTGATTATTCCTTTTTTACAAGAACCATCATCTCATTTAGTCTCTATAGTCACTACTTCAATGACAAGACTTGGAACGGTTTTTGATAGTGTTATGATCGCTGTCTGTGTTTATGATTTATTCTAGTTCCTCTGTTTTCTTCCTCCTGTCTGCCTTGGCTCCAGCCCCGCCCACTCACACCTGATCCTCATGCTTCTCTTCCAGGTGTTTCTTGTTTTTGCTCATTAGTCTCACCTTTATATTCGGTGTCTTGTCTTCACTTCCCTGTCGGATCACTGTGCCGTGCCGTGCCTTCAATGTTCTTCAAGTTTTATGCCAAGTCAAGTGAGTTTTTTTTAGCTGCGCCGTTAGCATCTTTTGTTTAATAAATACTTTGTTTTATTTTTGTGGAACTTTGAGTCTGCCTACACCCTGGGTTCTTTCTTGCCTGAAAACTGTGACAGATAGGAGTATTGAGACTAATTAAGGAGCTCTTCATCTAATCTGTGGAGGAAGCATTTCCCACTAAACTTATYAGTTATTTGTAATACTATTACTAGTTCACATAATTTAAAATAACATTTGATAGTATATAAACATCTAACTTAAATACTATMCACATACCTTGACACACTTTTTCAGGTTGGATGGCAAATTTTTGTAGGCCGTGACTACGTTTGTCCTCTGCAAATGCAGTAAAACACTGAATAATTCTTTATTTCACCTGGAACACAGGTTTGCGATCAGGACATGGATGCTGTGATAGAGTTGTTCTTGTGTACAGCAGGGATCATTACCTCCTGCCCAATCTGAGGAGAAGGGTGTCTCAGCGGTCACTAGGAGTTGGCCCAAGATATGATTGGTCTGTTTGTCTTTTGTGGGTGTAGTTAACCCAAGATGTGATTGGTTGGATTGACGGTGGGGTTTGAACAAGCTGGGGGGCAGCGAGGCATAGCTTGGTCGAGTCAGACAGGAAGCGGCATTAAAAAATATATATATATATATATAGTAAAGTACAAATTACTCTAATAAACTTACTTTATTCCTGCCCTTTGCATTAAATAAAGTATCCTAAAACGGTCTACTTACAGGAACTGATGGTAAAGTCTTTAAAACTTGTTCTCTTTTTGACAGGAACCAWAGTGTTTGAATGGYAAAGACACAACAATTTTAGCTAAAGTTACAGTTTGTGCTACTTYCTGTTCCTTTCTTCACATTTTTCATCATGTTGTGATATTTTAGTATTTTTTTACTAGCATAACTTAATTATTCTCTTTTGCACAGATAAAAAAGAAAGCATCATTATTTTTTCAACAGCAGGTGCAGCTACTTTTCCCTGAAYGTTACTGTCACAGAAAGCAAACCAAACAGCCCAAACAGGTTTGTTGAATTCTATAAGACATGAAGCTCTGCACAGACCATTTTCATTTACAGCTGAAATGCAGAAATGCAGTTCTATCTTTCTGCCTTTTCACCTGCAGAACCAGTTTGAATCCCACCCAGTTTTACTGCATCAGTTGTGGAAATGTCAGAACCATTCTTGCAATTTGTTTTCTAGGAGTAAAAAAAAAAAAGAATAAGGAAGTAAAGTCTGTAATATTGTCCGTAAATGGTTTGTTGGATTTGTCTCTCTGTGAAAAAGAATGAGGAAGCTTCAGAAAAAGGAAGCACAAACGTTCTCATGTTGTCAGACAGGTGGAATCTTCTCAACCACAGCTGCTGTAAGATYTAAAGTTTCTACAATTTGAAATTTCTTGTTGCTTTTCAGTTTGGATTAACGCTCTAATGTTGATGCAAATGAATTTAGATCATTTTCGGCTTTGCTTCTGAATATTTTATTCAGGTTTTGCAGAATTATTAATGGATACCAGCGTGGCTCCGTGCACAACGTTTCGTTCACATTCTGTGGACAGAACGTCCGCAGCAACAACTGAAAGCTACTCTGAGAGCAACCTGAAGTTTATCTGTAAGTTTTGGTCCGGTGCTCTGCAGACRTGTGGCAATGAAAACCACTGTGGCAACGAGAATAATGAGTCGGTGTCAGTCATCCTCCCTGCTCAGTGTAGCATCTACCAGCTGAGGCTACGCATTAGTATGAAGGTACGTAATCCCAAATATGAAGGTTTTATGCACCAAAAAAGTTGGTTTTGCAGCTAAACACACTGAAAAATTGCTTGGTTATTTTGTACACATCAATAGATTTATTGACCAGATGATATTTTTGGCTGATATTTGTTTTTTCTTGTATTGGTRCATGCATGTATTTGCCAATACAGTAAAAACTACCAATCTTACTGTAAGACTGATTGACTTTATTGCTATAATTGTAAATGTTCTACATTGTTTGCCATCCATTGCTAATATGTTTTGCTTATTTTTAAAGTAAATGTTTCTTTTTGTTTAAATTGAGACGTATATCGTGTAAATGTTGAATGAAAATGCAATATCGGCTTCAAGAATCAGCCCCCAARAATTTGTAGCATGTATTGGGGATCAGTTAGATCAATGTGAAAAAAATTGGTATCAGCATTAAAAAAACAACTGTATCAGTCAATCTCTATTATTTTTAATAATTCGGCGACATGGGTTAAAACTGTTGGGTTGGTTTAACCAAATATTGGGTGACAAAGCTGGCTCAGTTGTTTGGTCATGGATGAATCATGTCATTCCTCACTGTTTACCATTTAAAGGGGACATATCCTGCAAAATCAAATTTTTTTGCGGTTAAATTCATTTTGTTGTGTACTTGGAGTCTCTAGGAGGCAGAAAGTTTGGCACTGCAAAGAAATTTTTAAATTCTGTTTGGATAGTATTTTCAGTCTGCTCAGTTTTCTCTATAATGAATGAATGAATGAATGATCCCAAGGGGAAATTACCATTCAGAACACCCGTTCACAAGACAGAACATAAACAAACATAGGAGCACAGGTGCCCCCAGGTCATGCAGCCATAGACCCTGCACAGAACAAGGATCATCATCATGAAAGGACATCATGAGGAGGTGCTACCATTAAAAGGAAAAACGAAATACCACATAAGGATAGATGAGGGTAAAAAAAACAAAACATAATATTATATCACAAAAAGTGACAGATTATGCTATTTGCAGAAAAAAAAACCCTCTGCAGAGCAAGACTGAGCATCTGAAAATAAAGGGGTGGGGCTTGTGACGTTACAATAAGGAGGAATTCAAGCCAAAGCATTACAGTTCCACGTCACATAGACCACCATTGAAGGATTTAAATGTGGAAAAAAAGGATTTAAATGCATCATATGTCTCCTTTTAAACCAGAAGTTGACCAAATTAGAACTGAATGGACCTCTGCAATAGGGATAAGTACAGATAAAATGGTAAAAGCAGCTCTTAAAACCATGTTCACTCTGGTTGGCTTTGACAATAACTTTAGTTTGCATCAGTTTGGGTTGGTAAAATGTCAACTAACCCAATTTCTAATTGGATTGTTCCTTGTGACTCAACCTATTTTGGCTCTAATTCAACAAATCAGTCATTTTAACCAATTTTTTTAATCGAAAACACTCAAACTGATCACCCAGCTGTGCTGAGTTAAAGGGACCAAAATTTGCTCGGTCCAAATTTGAACCGGGTTACAAATGATTACAACAGTTTTAGTGTGCACTGGTTATGYCTTTTTGATTTGTTCATGAAATAAATCACATGTATTGGCTGACTTTTTTGCCCAGGTGGTGTTAGTCACTGAAGCTTAATAAAACAAAATTATATTCATTCTTAGGGATGAAAATGTTGGCTCACTTTACATTTTTAAAGGTAAGATGGTAAAAACTGTATACATTATATAGGCCACTCAAACTGCTGTCTGTATGCTTTCAGGCACAGGAACAAACCCACCATCCAGAACCATTTGCAATACTGGATCCTGAGAAGTACACCCTGCTGTACGCCAGAGGGGATGAGTGGTATGAGGCCTACGATGACTGTCAGATTGTCAGGACGTTAGATGTTCCATGGTCACGTGACGACTCACAGTATCTATCTGCACAAATAGCTGTGAAACCGCTGATTGCAGCTGATCCAGAGGAGAAGAAAAGACAACAGCAGTGTTTRAATTACCTGATCGGACATGACCTTGAGAAAGAGGCATCCGACCGGCTCGGTGAACTCACATTCACCCGCAGGAAACTAGCGTCTTCACGAAGGCAAGAGCTAAAGAACCGAGATGAGACTTTGTACACCACAGAGCCCTGGATAACTTGTGCCCCAGTCCCAAACGAGCTTGAGGACTGGCTGAAAAGAAAGGTTTCTGTCACCTTCCACTACCTGAACAGGATCAGTTTTTGTGTAGAAGTAGATTGTAACGCGAGCCCAGATGTTCTCCTCAAATTTTTCAGAAGAGTTGCAGCAGATAAGGCRGTTGAGTACGACACTTCTGATGATCTGGTGCTGAAGGTCACAGGGAGRGAGGAGTTTTTTTCCGGTGACTACACCCTCATCGAATTCCTCTGGGTTCGACAYTGTTTGAAAACCAACCAGGACCTCCACCTCTCTGTGGTTCCTGTCTCGCACCTTCCAGCCGAGACCATCAGGTTCGTAGACTGGCCGCTTGTTGACGGYTTCAGCGGTCAGTTCAGTTCCCACGAAGATCTCAGTCTCCAAGGTAAGGATTTGGATGACATCTTCATGATCTCCTTGTGGGACTGTGAGAGACGGCTCAGGGTCAAACTGCTTGGATTTGATGTGCCCAAGCTGCCAAACAAACGGCCTCAGTCTGTCTACRTTGAAGCTTCTATACTTTATGGTAGCAAGGTCCTCTCCTCGGTGTCCTCCRTACCCAAACCCTTTGCAGACGAGGTGTTGTGGAACGAGTGGCTGGAGTTTGATATCCTCCTCAGGGACCTGCCTCGTGGAGTCAAGCTTGGCCTTACGATTAACTCAAGTGCTACGGACATGTCTCCAACAGCCAAGGACCCAAAGTCACCGGGAGCCCGAGACTCAAAGGGAACACTCAGCAGAGACTCGAAGCCACCGTTTTCAGCCAACAAAGCTGCAGACTCTCAGAAAGGGAAGGAGAAGGTGCTCTACTTCGTCAATCTTCTTCTCATAGATCACAGGTAAGTCTTCAGCCTCGTGGGGTTTGCTGGAAGCTTTGGCTTGAAAGAAKGTGCCCAAATGTAACTGAGCGTCTCAACGTTTACAAACTCTTGGTATCAAAATAAAGCTAACATTTGGGAGATTTCATCAGAAGTGCTGCGTTCAGACAAACAGGATTTGATCGTCAGGGGCGTCTTTACTGCAAAGTCTTAGATGGATGCAATCAAGGGACGTCAGGAAGTGCTGCAGAGCGTCTAGCACATCTTGCACAGCACGTTTTGAAGCATTTCGAGTGTTTTGAGCATTTGACACGCGTCCTGCTGGAGTTGAAAAAACTGAAATTTTGCAGCTCAACATGGAGCGTCAACCAATCAAAGAGACTCCTCTGTGACATAGTGACATATTTTCCAACGGGACGGTCTCCTGCATGATGTCCACTAACCTGTGACAGATGGACGGGAGCTCTTCCGCTGAAATCGAGTGCCGGCAGTCGGTGCTCTGGCAGGAGATGTGAGCACCAACGCAATCAGCAGCTCAGCAAACTGAGCTTAGGACAAAAAACTGTTCTGCTCGCAGAACCTGGAGTGGTGAAACTCACCAAACTCAGAACATCTCTGAATTATTTGGTGAATTGATTATGAATAAATTATCTGGTGAGTGCGTCATGCTCTTGCTCTCGGTAGATAAAGCAGAGCCACTCTCAATTTCATCYGTCATACAGAGATCAGCAGGGGAAAATAAGCAATTGCTCTAGAGGCGTCCAGAGCAATTTTGATAAGCGTCCGACCTCAAAGTGCACAAGTGCTCACAAGCAATCAGTTGGTAACTGWTTAGCAGGCTTTTGATGAACTACAATCATCTGAATCAGATGTGTCAAAGCAAGGGGACCTCTAAAATACGCAGGGCAGTGTGCGTTGRGGACCAGGGTTGAAAAACACTGCATTAATATATAACCCCTTTAAAAGTATATTGAGWAAGRCTAAAAACTTTTGGAAACCATAAATTCACATGTGGACATTTCCAATATTACTTAGAAAACCAGAGGTAATTTTAGATATTTCATGACAAGAAAGAAATACTCTGTGGGCTTTTGAATGAAAATAAATTTGCTTGAAGGCAGGAAAATAACTGAAAAATAGTCATGTATCTTCTTATCATTCTTAATGTCATTCAGATTCAGATTTTTAAAACATGTTTTGCCAAGAGATCAAGCTAACAGTATGCTTTTTTAAAAGAAAGTAATTACCATATGAACTCAGTGGCATTGTGTAATTTAATTTCTGAGAATCCATGAATGAGCTAATTATAGATCAGCGGCACCATGTCTTTGAATCCKGAAAGATTACTTCTCATTAAGGATCAACATTGTAGGAAACTGTTTTTCAGTGATTATATGGTAAAGAGGGAGACCAAGACACAAAAGTATGTTAATTTCATTGATTAACATGTTGTAAGCTTGTATAATTTAATGTAATTGCCTACACAGAGCAGATTTTTATTTGAGGAAGGTCTTTATTTCCTGATTCACTAAAGTAAAGTAGTTCTTTTATTTTCTTCCTCATGTAAAATAACCTCTTTATTCCTTTGAGGTGTACAGTATATGAAAGCAGCCTCACAATGAGTCCTGATGACTCAGTGGGATGTACAGTATATACAGTCAATTGACTTGTTTATTTTCTCATCAGGTGATCAACTTGAGAGTTTCTCCATAAGAGATTTTTCTGAAGTAGAAAGAAAAARGATTAGACATGTAATTATGAATAAACCATCATAATTGGACTCTGATTCATCCCTGCAGATCTGTTCTCAGCCAGGGTTCCCACACCCTGCACATGTGGTCCTATGCTGACCAGGAGGACGAGGCCATCACCTACAAAGCAGACAAGTTGTCCTCAGCTACAAACCCAAACATCGCTGACTCCATGGCCATCACTGTGCTTTTAGACCGCTACAGTTTCCCAGTGGTTCTYCCGAACACCCTGAGCCAGAGTGTCAGCAATCCCACCTCTGATCTTCTCCTGGACAAATCCTCCTTTTCAGCCTCTCCTCAGACCACCAGCCCAGAGCCTCTTTCTCCACAGAACACTCTTCAGGTCCCAAACACTGATACTGACACCCTCAGAAACCAAACTCCAGTTGTTAGCAGCAAGAGAGCTTGCCTCAAAACRTTCAGGATTGAGAGTGTCCAGTACGCCTCCAGCCTGCCACACTTCTTGCGCAATATTGATTGGATGAACCGCAGGGTGGTTGAGGACGTCCACTGGTTACTGGGACACTGGGATCCTGGGGAGCTGGACGTAGCTGTGGCCCTGGAGCTGCTGAGCATGGACTTTGCTGACGAGACGGTCAGAAGACTAGCAGTGCAGAGACTGGAGACCCTGTCCAATGATGATGTGCTGAAGTACTTGCTGCAGCTGGTGCAGGTTTGTGTTGTTGATGTGAAAATGAAGACTGACTTACAAGCTCATTTTTAATGAAGTGAGGACTTCRTGTAAAACACAAATACAATTTGCAAATCATTTTCAACCTATATTCAATTGAATAAACTACAAAGAAAAGATATTCAGCCAAATATGTAGTAGCGAATTACTCTTAATAAACACAGGAGTCTCTGGTTGACAGCCAGCTGAGGGAGATTTATTGAGTTGCATGGTTTTTTCAGACAGTCTCAACTTAAAAGAATGAGAACCAGCCCCGCCGAATTGGGGAGCTCTGGATTTATACCTTCATTCTGCATCACCTGACCAAAACTTTGCCAAGTTTCATGAGAGCATTTCACATACACATATATTGGAGACATTTAACAGCAGTTTCCTGGAAAGCAACAGACCTCACTCATCCCACAGTCTGTATTGGCTGGGCTTCCTCTCTGGTAAACAAGCACGTACTTTGTAATACATACTAATGACAGCAAAACTTTGAACTCGTGTTTTTTTCCACTGTGCAGTCAAGTATTTGTACTTTTCTTAATCATTCTGGACCAAATACGGCAAGCTGTTTGTAACAGAATCTTGGCTGAAACATCTGGACTAACAAACAAAGAACCTGCTACTTCAATCCTCCCTGTTAGAGATTATTCTCTAATTAATGCTAACTATCTTTTGTATAATTTTTAACCCATATCCAATTGAATAAACTACAAAGAAAAGATATTTAGCAT